CGTTAGCATGGTAGCGTTAGCATGGTAGCGTTAGCATGGTAGCGTTAACATGGTAGCGTTAGCATGGTAGCGTTAGCATGGTAGCGTTAGCATGGTAGCGTTAGCATGGTAGCGTTAGCATGGTAGCGTTAGCATGGTAGCGTTAGCGTGATAGCGTTAGCGTGGTAGCGTTAGCGTGGTAGCGTTAGCGTGGAAGCGTTAACGTGGTAGCGTTAGCGTGGAAGCGTTAGCGTGGAAGCGTTAGCGTGGAAGCGTTAGCGTGGAAGCGTTAGCGTGGAAGCGTTAGCGTGCTAGTGTTAGCGTGCTAGCGTTAGCGTGCCGACGTGGGCACACCTCCCTGAAGAAGTGGGTGGATTGCCTGTGTCTCATTTGTATTTAAAGAGACAGGCACTCCAAAGCGAGCGCTCTGAACAGGGCTGTTTTGGGTTTGGGTTAGGGTTAGGGTTAGGGTTAGGGTTAGGCAGGGGGACTGAACTGCTATTGGGCTTCATCCTTATGGGATTCTGACCAAAGCTTGTCACAGACATCACATTAGGACACCAGGGAGCTAGCTTAACTTGTTGAAATAAGGTATAATATGTCTCCTTTAAACGAATAAATCCAAACCCCATCCATCCACTCTGTATACCGCTCAATTCACCACTATTTTATAGGCAGAACAATGTGTTGGACTCACTTTGATTAGTGTCGACACCACTTCAAATCCTCCAATCACCAGGAGCAGGGGGGCTATGACGATCAGCGGGAGGAGCGAGTACCCGATCACCCCCAGAACCTGGCCGTAAGAAACCTGCCCAAAAGACCACCACTCTCACCTGAAGAACAAAGGGGGGGGGGGGGGGGGGGGGGGGGGGGGTTGTGGTCAGAACCACTCACCTCCCCGCCCAGAACGCGGGCCAGCAAGAAAATAGTTAGAGATCCAAATATCCAGATGGTGATGATCCAAGACACGACCTGTTCACAGAGAGCAGAAGATGGTTTTAGCTGCACCACGCCATCCTGTTACACACACACACACACACACACACACACACATACACACACAGACAGACACACACACACTAGGGTTGTCACGATACTAACATTTTCAACTGGATACCGATACTCAGGAAAATACTCGATACCATTTTCGATACCACAAGGATCAAATCAAAGACCCCAAAATGTAACTGAATTTTGACAGGTTAGTGTCTTTAATTTCAAACTGACCTGTTACTGATGTTATTGTGATAACATCGCATTAATGACCCTAATCCTAACCCTAACCCTAACCCTGACCCTACAGCCTTCATAATTGTGAGAAATAAATATTTTTTGGTTAAACTTGTTTGGACTTATTGTACAAACCTATTTAACATACACTATTTTAACATAATAATATGTATAGAGTATAATTAAGTGTTTGAAAGATTAATTTCACCATTTTATTAAATTAATATCTATATTGCCATGAGGCAATTACGATTTTCTTGCCAGGAATCTTCCGATTGGTGACGTAATCAAAATGGCCGACTTGGACGTGGGCGGAGTTTGAAGCGAGACGAATTTGAATAATGTTGGCGTGTTGTTATTAGCCATTAGCCGCAGCTAGCAATTCAAGGCTAACGTTTTGTTAATGATCATAAACAACGTAAATAAATGCATAAATGAATAAGAGAGAAGGGGCGATACTTTTGAAAATGAGTATCGTGGGGGTGGTATCGATACATGACCATCTTATCCGGATACTACATTTGAGTATCGATACTTTTGACAACCCTAACATACACACACACACACACACACAACAAAAGAATCAGCCTGGGTAACCCTCTGTTTTCCGCTAACCCTGAACTGTCCGTAGATGGAGATCATGGAGAACAGAAGGACCACAGCCAGAGGGCCCCAGAAGTCCGGGTTGTCCCGCACCACCTGCCGGTTATAGCCCAGAGAGGGCATGGGCATCAGCACGCACCGGACCTTGTAGTAGATGTCCTTCAGGTCAATGTCCAGCTCTTCCCTGCCGGCAGAAAGAGAGCACAGCGCCACATGATAAGAGATGTCGGACATCTATGGGTCAGATGGGTCAAAAAATGGCACAAAGACAATCAAGAGTGTGAGCACTAAACTGGCTCGTACTTTACCTTTTTTTTGGTTTTGTTTTAACTTCTCTTGTTTCTTATGCATCTTTAACACCTTTTAAAAGCCTAACCAGGGACGAAGGCTGCAAATTAGCCCATGGCTACAAGCCTTATGCACTTGGACATCGGCCACCTGTTTGGTTGCGATGAATAAATAAAAAAATGAGTCATGCTAGGACCTGGAATCAACCAGAAATCCTGACAAGAGCTGGAAATCCGTGTCAAACTACAAAGAATCCTCTTTCACGAAATAGTTCAGAGGAATTTCTTTCAAGTCCAAACATTAAAAAAAAGCTCAGTTTGAGGTAAAAGCTGGATTAGAGCATTTCTACATTTTCTACCAAAGAAAATAGGGTGATATTTTAGTCCCCTGGGTCTACAGTCGGCTGGGCAAGCCCCAGGATTTAGTCCCGACTTCAGGTCCAACCAGAAGAGGAACTAGGGAGTAGGGTTGTCACGATACTAAAATTTTCAACTCGATACTGATACTCAGGAAAATACTCGATACTATTTTCGATACCACAAGGATAAA